AAGAATGACAACTGTTTCTTATGGTCAAAAATGGTAATTTTAACCAGTGTTGCCATAGTTATTTAAAATTATAATTTCTAATTAATTTCAAATTGGACATTAAAATAATATTTTATTAATACATACTTTTAACTGAAAATTATACCTTTTTACAAGGGTCAGGTTAGGTTTGGTTACGTTACTTTACGTTTATTATCATATTTTCTTATGAAAAATAAAAAATTTGATTTTTAATTATATTCCTACTTTTAAATGAAAATTATACCTTTTTTACAAGGGTCAGGTTAGGTTTGGTTACGTTTCTTTACGTTTATTATCATATTTTCTTATGAAAAATATAAAATTTGATTTTTAATTATATTCCTACTTTTAACTGAAAATTATACCTTTTTTACAAGGGGCAGGTTAGGTTTGGTTACGTTTCTTTACGTTTATTATCATATTTTCTTATGAAAAATAAAAAATTTGATTTTTAATTATATTACAAAATTTTATTCTTATTACTGCTTTTTTACGAGCGTTAGGTTAGGTTAGGTTGGTTTAGTTTTATTGTCATGTTTTCTTGTTGGGTTAGATTTGGTTTATTGGTTTGCATTTTTAATATTAAAATGTAAAAAATGTAATTTTCATTAAATTTTAGGTATTTTAAATGTTAAAACTGGCAACAATGTCAAAAGTACATAAAATTTAACTTCTTGCGCATGGCCGCCATATTGTTTTGAAATATTAAAAATCTTGATTATTTTAAACAATTTTACGCATTTTTTTCATAATTTTACAGTAAAAAATAGTGATATTTAATATGTTTTAGTTACGTTTTTTTTATTAAGACATTTATATATACTTTTCTTTGCTTTTTATGTAATTTTTTTTGGTTCATAATACTTTTTATGTATTTTTTCTGATTTTTTTGATTATTTGGGCACTTTTAATAGTTTAAAGCAAAGAAAACATTAAAATTTGAGGTTGTTTTCACTTTTTCGGCTAAGTCCACAAAAAACTGTGCATTTTTAAGGCGTTCCGGCTTAGTAAATAATTACCATTATTATTATTTTAAAAATTCTTAACCTTCATTTTAACAAATCAACAAAATAAAAATTCGAATATGTTGATAAGCAACATGTATTGTGTAAGCAACTTTACAAAACTGTGGGCGTGCCAGACAGTTCATTTTGGTTGAAATGACAGCATGATACCAGAGAACAGTTCTCTGATGATACCACAAAATAATAAACAATCAGAAGGGCCACTCTCAGATGCCGCCTTTGAAGTTTTTCAGCACGCGCGCCATGTTTTAGGAGGACACAAACATATGATTTGTGAGGTTATGCAATTGTTTACATTTATGTTTAATCATATTATATTTATGTTATTATATTATATATATAAAACTGTTAATATAATTGTATAGTATGTTTATGATTGCCGTAAGTCAAATAAACCTGTTTTTTTTTTTTCATGCACACCACATAAAACAACACTGGTTCCCTTTAAAATCCTCGTAAAACATGGCGGAACGTCTGCGCGAAGGAGATGCGCGTACTTCATTTTCCGTGGAGAGTGGGCATTCTGTTTGTTTATTATTCTGTGATGGTACTATGACCACTATGACTATAAGATAAGATATTGCACATGTTTTGTGACGTCATTGGAGAGTTGCACGTTCGAAATGTCAGTTTTTTGTATATATCAATAAATAATCTTTAATAAATAGTTTGGAGATATCCTTATGTGTACGATTATTGTAATTATTGAATCTCTCAACCTATTTTCGTCTAGTAAATTCATCACAGAATGCATACAAATCCCATTTAACTTTAACAAGAATTCAAATTCTACTCTCCAATGACGGCATGCGCGAAGCCGACCGATTTTGAGCTACAGGAAGATCCTATCTTGTTATTCATAGCATCATGGTTGACAGCACAAAATTCTTCCTTTTGATTGGTCAGACGCAAGTAACGCACTGGAAAAGATAAAAGTTGACGAAGTTGACCAACTCTTCCGTTACAGTGCGTTTCGCTTACGTCCCGTCTTGCGTTTACGCATGATACCATGGACGTATAAACACAGATCGTATAAAACAATCTATGTTTATACGTCCATGCATGATACTATGACACAGAATAATAAACAAACAGAATACCCACTCTCCACGGAAAATTAAGTACGCGCATCTCCTCCGCGCAGACGTTCCGCCATGCTTTAGGAGGATTTTAAAGAAATTAGTGTTGATTATGTGGTGTGCATGGACAAATTAACTAGGTTTATTTGACTTACGGCAATCATAGACATACTATACAATTATATTAACATTGTTAAATATAATAACATAAATATAATATAATTCTGTGCCCTTCTGATTGTTTATTATTCTGTGACTATGACAAGAAGATAAGATATTGCGCATAAGTCGTGACGTCATTGGAGAGTTGCACGTTCGAAATGTCAGTTTTTTGTATATGTCAATAAATAATCTTTAATAAATAGTTTGGAGATATCCTTATGTGTACGATTATTGTAATTATTGAATCTCTCAACCTATTTTCGTCTAGTAAATTCATCACAGAATGCATACAAATCCCATTTAACTTTAACAAGAATTCAAATTCTATTCTCCAATGACGGCATGCGCGAACACGACCGATTTTGTACTACGGGAAGATCATATCTTGTTATTCATAGTATCATGATTACAGGCTTCTTTAATGGACATGCGCCAGTCAAGGGAATTTGGGGACACCCGAAAAAAAACCTAGACGCTTCCAATCGATATCAAAATTTAACCAAAGGCAGAAAATTAATTACTAAATTTACTAGTTAGTAAGACTGAATTTAGTTAGTGACGACATCTTAGGTAAAGCTGCCTCTGATCTGTACACTAGAAACAGACTATCAGTATCAAATGAATGGCTGTTACGGACTAGAAAGCGCCACAAAAAACACAAAAAAAGAAAAAAACGAAAGACAAAAACTTTTTAAAAATATTTATTAGTTAAAAATCACAAAGATGTACTTAGAATAAGGCACATGGTAACAGAATAATATAATCAAATAAACATAATTATATCGAAATAAAAACAAATATTCATAAAAATTTACATTTATATTAATTGATAAGTATAGTAAGGCATGGATGTGAAAGATTTGTGAGTAAAATAAATAAATGAATTGGATATCTAACTTTTTGGTCGGAGTAAAATTATATTTTTAACGAATTTATGCTCTTAAACTTATCAAATAATATCAACATAAGTGATGAATATAAGAGGAAGGTTATACTAGTTTAAATTTATCACGGAGCAATCATTACTTTTTGTCACATTTTTTGTAAAAAACATTCTGCATTTAGAATACTACAGAATCCGCTAAGTTTAACAGAACAAAATAAAATGACCAAAATAATTAGGCTTAGGTTGACAATGCTGTGTTGCGTATTGCTAATCCAATTCCAGTTATTTATTAATTTCATTTATTAGATTTTAGTCAGTTGAAAAGTAGAAATAAAAACATCACTGACTAGTATGACCTTATAAACATGCAAGCATATATAACTACGATTTTAGAACAAATTCGAGTATTTTGTCTATTGTTAACTAAATATATCGTAATCAATATGCTCATCAATAATATATATTTACGAATATCTAAACGCCGCAATATTTCAGTCTGTTAGTCAGAAATAAAGGTTTTAGAAATTGTCGTGGAACTTTCCAGTTTGATCTAAAATAATTTAGATTTTTATTTGTTGCCCGACTCTTTTAAAAAAAGAGTTTGACACCAAAACATGTGTTAACCAGTGTATTTTTTATTAGTTTATGACTAACAAATACTAAAGAATATTGGGACAGCTCTCATTAGATTTGTACATAATAATTTAAAACTCGATATAATATCTAAACAATCTCTCTAAAATCTCTAAAAACATTTTTAAACAAGATATGTATGATTAAGTCTTTAAAAGTTATCATCATAAATTGTTCATGGAATGTGTAAGTAATTTTTATAACAATATACATGTAAACCATACCATAAGAGATATCAAATTATATTTCCCATGGTTTTACTGCTTATATATTTTAAAAATTCCAGATATTTTTCTTTTGGCCTATGTGAAAAAAAAGATGATAAAATAAACAAATACTTCACATTTTTTGTCATGTTAATAAAAAGAACATGTGTTCATTATTCATTAAAATCTTTAAAATCAAAATAAGTTGTAAAATATGCGAAATATAATGAGATATCGAGATTCAATATAGGCCTTTTCCTTTATAAATACTGTACAAATTCATAAACTGAAAAATTTCTAGTAATAATCTTTTGGTATACTTATTTTTGATACAATTAAACAAAAACTCAATAAAATCCACATTTTATGTACAATTCTCTAATATATATAATAAAATAAAATATAGTATATAATAAAATAATTAGGAAGGGTGTTTGAATCACTTTTGTTGATAAGTGGGCAGTTTTGCTAGTGGGAATTAAAAAAAAACTAATATGTATTCTGGGTGTGCTTATGTATAACAGTTAATTATATAAACTTTTTTTGAAAAATCTTAAAATCTGGACTTCATCACACTTGAATATATGGAACAACATTTTAATTGGTTTGATTGAAAAACTTAATTAGATTAATAACGGTTTTTGACCTTATAATAACTTATAACTGCTTCTACTAATTTATACTTCACCAATATTTTTTTACATTTGATATGAACACGTCCATCTTTTTAACATGCCACTTTAGAGTATTGCTGTATCACTCTCTAGATCATGATTCAATTGCATAATGCTGTTTTACTGTTGTGCATAATAATTTATTTCTAATCACGGATTATTTGATTCAGAATAAAATTAAATAATATTAAATTGAAAGAGAATTTTTTGCCAACTTACAATAAAACTCAAAGTGATTTGAACACCACATTAAGACATCATTGACTATTTTTTTTTGGAAAAATCCCATAACCGTAAAAAGTGTTCCAACGTTTAACTAATATGCTTCTAAATATAGGTATAATTTATACAAAAATCTCTTTTATAAAATACACATATTTAAAAATGATCATATAATCACTATAGCTAGTTATTATTTAAAATGTCACCGTTTATTTGGTTATCACATCGAAAGAATTGTTGAGCCAAACTTTGAATTCGTGTCCAAATGTCTTGAAGCTGAAATTAGATAAAATAAGATTAATACGTACAAGAAATGATGACGCAAAATTCAATTAAAGATGGTCAATTCTTATATGCTGGCGAAAACACTGCTTTAATGGTTTTGAAAATCATTTATTCGTTAACTTTTACGGTAATAACTATTTGTTTACAGAAAAATAAAAGTGTATACACGAATTTCACCCTAAATGAGTTTAGCTGACGATTATGAAACTAACTTAAAAGCTGATGTAATATTATGTAAGTACTACCTTTAATAAAAAATCGTTGTCAGTGACTTCACTCATAGTTTATTGAGATTTACGGTACCATCAATGATACAGGGGCGGTTTCAGTGCAGTGTCAAATTATACAAATATACAATATACAGAATCATGGAAATAAATAATAATTAAAACAGGTCTTCACATAAGGAGTTCAAAATAAATATTACATAGCCTAACTTGTGAATATAATTTGTCCGATTGCTTTAAAACACAATTTTGAAGAAAATAAAACAGTCTAAAACAAGTTTAAGCCCTTTTAGTGACTTTTGTAATATATATAGAATAGTCATTTATCAGAAATGTATCATTCATAAACAAGCTCATTCAAAGTTAAACTTCACTTGACTGTATGTGATATATTTTAAATATTTTTAAAAGTTTTGAAGAATAAGAAAATCCTGCAACATAAACTAAAATAAAAAAAGTAACTACTACATAATTGAGAATTGCAGTGATTTCATTGATGATTGTGTTGAAGAGAATCACTATACTTAAATTAATTTTAATATAGCTTGGTTCCAATCTTACTCTCAACAAAATTGTGAAGTGTGCGTCTAAGAGCATTTACAGGAATAAACTGAACAAATTTATTGAAGAAGGAATAACGTAATATGTAAAATGAATGTAAACGTACATAAATGTTCCATGTTTATTTGGTCAAATACTATTAATGGAAGTAGTAACAAAAATGACAAATATCTTAAATTGTTGACTTCATATAATTTTTTTTTTAATTTTTAAAGTAAGTGCATGTTTAAATAAAATATTATAGTTTAGTAACCAATGAGAGAAGCAATTGATTTTAAAAAGAAAGTAATTGTAGTAACTAGTAGGAAAATCCACGTGCTTTTCACATCAATGTGTTGATGTAAAAAAAGTATCTATGAAAAAATCTCTAGAATCGAATTTAATATTCATTTCTATACACTTAAAAATGATACTTGCAAATCTTGCGATGCATTTCAAATAAATTAAATGCCGAAAGTAATAAAGAAAAATCAGAAGAAGTAAAACTAGAAAGAGACCAGCATATTGCTCTGGCTCAAAAAGCTAGGAAACTTCTGAAAGATTACAAAAACGAGTGTGTGAAGCCGGACAGTACAGGTGTATTAATTACAGAACACTTCCCTTACCTCACATAAATACCGGTGAGGAGTATTACTTAAGGCAGATGCATATGTTAAACTTAGGAATTCATACTTATGAAAGTGGTGGAGAAAACGTTTTTATGAACGTGTGGTATACCATGTGGACCAAAGGGGCTAGAGGTTCTCAAGAAGTGATAAGTTGTTTATATCACTATTTTCAAAATGATATTCCTCCTCATGCTACAAAACTTGTTCTTTTTAGTGACTGTTGTGGGGGACAAAATCGGAACTGGAATTTGTTACATTTTCTTATGTACATGGTTAACGTTTTACCGAACATTCAAGATATCTATGTAAACTATCTGGTTACCGGCCACACATATTTACCAAACGATGGCGATTTTTCATTTATTAGTACGGCACAGAATTTAACCCTAGTGTACACTCCTGAAGCATGGATGGAATTAATTTCAAATTGTCGAAAGCGCCACCCATTTCGTGTAAAAATCATGGTGGATAAGTTTGTGTCATTCGACAAGTTGAAAAATTTTTAAGTCACCTCATGCCCCGCGGAGTTCTGGCGTCATGATTTCTCAAATACGCAGAATTAAGTTCTCTAAAGATACATCGCTAATGTTTGTCAATGGTGATTACTCTGATAATTATAATGCTATAGATCTAAATGAAATTGAATTCTTTTCGAGAATTTGCACAAGTATTAAAAAAACTTTTTCCCGGAGGTTGCCGCAGATATTACCTTATCTTTTAATAAAATGAAAGATATAAAAAAAAAATGCTACAATTTGTACCTCCTGTGCATCATCCATTTTATCTTTTTTTTTATAACATTACAATCGCAGAGGTGATGGGGAAGATAATGAAGACATACTATCACCATTTCGAGGTGAAGATTTGGATGAATAAGTTTACCTAACTATTTTTAATAATTCTAAAATGGTCTATGTTACATTTTTAAATAAAAAAAATTAACAAAATGAAGTTCAGTTATCAGGAAGGATTTTTTTTATGTTTGTAAGATTTTTGGTAACCGTAATTAAACTTTTGTACAAAAATTTTGGTTTTAGTTCCTCTACCAACCGCTTTATATGTATATTAAAATGTATTTTTTTAATTTTCTCGAAAAAGTGGTTTTGGTACTTAGACCACTTTAGTTCCAGGCTAACCATATGATCAGACCGTTATTTGTAGTTATGGTCTAAATGTATACTGGATGATTTAATATTAACGTTTTAAGGTTGCAATTTTTTAACCATATTCTCTATATTTTTAGTTTAATGCGCATAGTTTTCACCATAATCTTAGACACAAAATGGTGAAATAATAAATGATCTCAGAACTGTAAATATAGTATTTATTAAATATCGTCACAAAACATATCTCGGAGCGACTATCACCACAGATAACGATATCAAGGAAGATATAAAAGGGAGAATTCTGGCAGCAAACAGATGTATGTATAGCCTCCACAACACTATTAAAACAAAAAACCTAACACGAACATAAAAAATCAGGATATATAAAACAGTAATTAGACCGGTGCTCATGTATGGGTGTGAGACGTGGACGCTGACAAAAGCAATGGAAAGTAAACTCAGATGCTTTGAGAGAAAAATCCTCAGAAAGATCTTCGGTCCCTATCACGATCCGAATACTAACCAATACCGAATGAGAACAAATCCAAGAGATTAAATCCCAACGTCTAAGATGGGCTGGCCATGTTCATAGGCTCCCTAATAACCGCCTTACCAAGTTAATCTGGGAAGAAGTCCCGACAGGGAGAAGGCCCTTAGGACGTCCACGAATGCGATGGAGAGATAATATATGGTCAGATTTGAGAAAAATGGTGCTACCCACTGACTTAAACATCATGGACGACCGTTCGAGATGGAAGCAGGTTGTGCAGTCAGCGAAGACCCACCCCGGGTTGTAGTGCTACCAGAAGAAGAAGTCACAAAACATGGAATTTTACTTTGTATTCATATTTGTATATTTTACATCGAGTCGGTCAGATAGCTCAGCGGGCTGTGCGGCTGCCTCTCATTCGCTTCACTGTCGAATGGTTCAGTGGATGTGGGATCGAGCCCCAGCTCGGTATACAGAAAACAAAAAGTCTAACGCAGCAGTTTAAAATTCTAGATGAATCTGCGGCTTAGACTAGGATATGCTGGGATCTGATCGGCCTATGGTGGAGCAGTACGGCAAGAGATAAGGGCTTGCGGCTCGGTGATACTCCTCCATAGATCCCTACCGGACGGGCGTAACGCCTAAAAAACCGGATATATATATATATATATATATATATATATATATATATATATATATATATGTATATATTTTACGTCGAACAGAAAGCTCAGTACTGGTTCATAATCTTAACGTTTTTCGCTTTGTTTAAAGCAGATCAAGTATCAAATTTATAATTGTGTTCATTTTATAAAAAAACGGCCACCAAAGGAGCATGTTAGTCAAATCTAAAGCAAGTTACTTAAACATAGGTAAGCAATTCATAATTTGTAGAGTATACAAATTGGTAATTTTAGAATCTTAAAACGCGACAAAATAAAAAATTAAGTACAGTTATATATAAAAAGTAAAATATTTTTTTAATCTCAATTTTGATTATAGTTTTGACGGTCTTCTCTAGTTAATTTAATTAAGATCTAATTAAGCTTTTTTCTCATAGCTAAGCGCTTTCAGACCATGTAATTTAAAAGTTGTATTTTTGGACTTTTCAATGCGGATCTTTATCGGATCTCTATCGGATCTATATGCGGATCTTATATCTCAATAATCATTTATATTTGAACTGAGATAAGTGATGTTATCGATTTTTTCTATTTCAACATCATATGCTGTAATTGTGTACCTGCGTTTTGCTGACTACCATATATAGAGTTTTTAAGGTATTAAGTTTTAACTTTGATCAAATAAAAGGCAAATATCGAGCACAATTTAATTAATTTAATCTTGCCCAGGTACTTTCGCTCCCTAGAGCAGCTTCAGGGGCATTGCGTCAATTGTGGTCTATCCGACAAGAATAAAATGTTATAAACATAAAATGGTACATCACACTACACTACACAAGGACAAACACATTAAAATTATTAAAAATAGGCGAAGCTACATTGTGTACAGAAGAGACAGAATCTATTCTGTCTATAAAATAATTCGACAAGACATTTCTCTTCAAACCACGCTTCTTTTGATGTTCGTTTTTTCTTCTTATTTTTTTTGTATGTTGCTGTATTTTTGAGGATCTCGTTTTTTAAATATCCTTGTTTTTCCATAAGGTTTAATATATCATCATTCGTCCAATATTGTTTTTTATATTTGATTTTGGGTAAGTCGAAAGTAGTTTTGTTTATTAGTTTTAAAACGATGCCAGTGATTTAAATATCATAAAACTCTTGTATCATCGACTAAGAGGATATGGTCAGAAAGAAAATGAGCTCCAGGATACGTTTTGACTACTTTTACCGAGTGTCGATAACGCTCATTGCGAATTATGTCACATATCTGATTTTACTGATATTTTCAGGTCTATCTGCTGGAGCTAAGCCTAAAGTCTCCTTTTCGACATTTTAAAAGGTATGGATAATATAGAGATTTCCTTTTATACAGAATTCTATAAATCGGTCCCATCTATCGTTGCTTTCCACAAGACTTAAATCTCTTAAATATTTTTTTCTTTCCCTTCGCCAATCTGGGCATTTAGATATCCCATTCATCATCATCATCATCAACCTGTATGCGTTCACTGCTGAACATAGGTCTTCCTCAGCTCTTTCCATCTGCCTCAATTCCACTTTACCGACGCCATCAAATTAGTACTTTAATATATCTGCTATTTACCATGTCAGTCATATTTTTAATATTCGAGTAAAGCTGCTGTTGGTGCATATACCTTAATGAGATTTGTATCAGAAGTTATTGACCTCATTTACATCATAACTGGATAACTCCGTCGCATACGTAGCATACTGATTTTTAAAGTGCTCGTAGCATACTCGGGATCATCGTTAAAATCTTCAGCCATAATGGTGACTACCTATTTTGCGTAATTATTAAGCATCGGCCTTTCGGCCTTTACTGGAAGCTGTTTTTAAGCCATGCCACAATTCATCAAAAAACGCTTGTTTAATACTTTAAGTATAATATACTTTCAGTATAATAAGATTCTTCCCAAAAAAGGATTTTTGTATTGGACTAAGAAGACACTAGAAGACAATGGCTTTAGATATTGAATTTGTATATGAGATTAAAACATAATTAAAGTAATAAAAATTACATTTGATTTTTTTACGTTTAGATTTCTACTCTGGAAATCGTTTTCAAAAAGATTATTTTGAAATTAATCTTTAAAACCGATTTCCACACTGGAAATCAAAATGACCATAAAATATTCATTCAAGAATCTAATGAATCGTAAGACTAGTACATTAATTTTAAGATGATAAGCGATAAATAACTCCTCAAGATGATTTTAAAATGTATAAATGAAAAAAGTCTTTTAATTAATTTGTATAATTCATCATAACTTACCTCAGAATGAGATTTAATTTGGAGATTCAATAAATTCCTCATAATATCTGAAAGTGTTTCCAGATAGGAGTACACCAACCGAGTTTCCATATTTACGCAATACAAACTAAAATCCGCACGCAACTCCATATTGGTGATAACATTTTCTTGAGTTAGCATTTTAGACTCTAAATGTTCAACACTTTCTGCCTAAAATACATAATTAACCATATTTAGGTAACTAGGATTTTACACGAAGAAACTATTGCTAGAAAATCAATTTTATACATTTACTACAGTACAAAGCAATAATTTACATTATGATAACATTAAACAAGTACGCCAATGTACGCAACGTACAAGTACGCAAATCTTTAATTTGTAGAGATCAAATGACGTTTAGTCATAATCAGTACAGTTTTGTAACGGGTAGCTCTGTGGGATCGGCGCTACACCAACTAGATTGGAGACTAGAGAAAACAATTGTTGATGGTGAGTTTGGTCTAGGATTATTCATGCACGTAGAGGAGGCCTTCGATAATGTAGAATTCGAATTGCTGAAGCTCCCAATGCGATGCCGTGTCGCTAAGCCAGCCGCCCGGTGCATCGGGTTTAAGATGGGGTACAGGGGGGGGGGGGCGAAATCAAATAGGCCCAAAGGAAAAAAAGGATTTTCTCAATGGGATTCTTTATCCCTTCCTTTGGAATATAGTTAATGATGAATTGATTTTTAGGTTGAATACACACTCGAACATAGTATTTGCATCTAATGAAACTGAATGTTGAAAGAGCAACATAATACGACTGACAAATCGTGCTCCTTCGACATATACTATCTTAAATACATTAAAGTGATAGTAAGCTTTACTAGAAGATGTAAACTGTTACAGATTATAAACTGTCATGATTCTAAAATAATGTAAATGTTTCAATGCATTAAATATATAAATTTGCAGAAAAAATCCAAAATAGAGGTAAAAATAAAGGAACAGGAGAAAGAGAGATCTTAGAATAAATTGTCGAAGAGTTTAATTTGCCAAAGTTGATAAATAGTGAATTTTTATCCCAAATTTAATTGAATAGATTAAAAAGAAAACAAATGAGTGAAAGTGTTTTTACGTGTCCTGGAGAAATTTGAAAATTGCTAAATTAGAAATAAACTGTAAGCTAATTACTTTACTTATTTGACGTAGTTCGAGAATTTTATGATTCTGATGTTTGTCCAAAGGAGACAAACGATTGCGGTTTTCATTTCAATATATTTGGACAAATTTTGGAAGAAAAATTATTTCCAATTGGCTTCTATGAATCTAAATGCAACACAGAAGTAACATATGAAGCCCGAGAGATTAATTTATAATTTAAATTTTTTTTAACTTTTTTATGATATGCAAAATAGATAAAAATTACATAAAAGCATGTATCTTGGTTAATTAAACAATTCTCAATGTTGATGGATTCGACCGTTACTTGATGGAAATTCATTTTATGTAACAATAAAACACTGAAAACTTTGTTTTCAAACTTCCACAAAATTTATTTTAAATATTATCACTACAGCTGTTTCGGCTGATTGCCTTTCTCAAGTGATCTATTTTGGCTTGGTTTACAAATTTATAGTCTCTAATGAAATAGGTTGAGGAGGGGAGAACTGTTTGTCTCAAGTTGGTCATTCAGAATTATGTCTGTGTTTTTTAATTTGTTGATTTCTATAGATTCTAACAAAGATAGCTTAAGGCCTTTATTTTGAATGTGAAGAATTTTAAATTTGTCATTAAAAGAATGATTATGATCTAGAAGGTGAAGTGCGTATGTCGAATCTGTTTTTCTATTCTTAAAAGGGCTGTAAAAGGGCTTTCAATAATAGAAAAACAGATTCGACATACGCACTTCACCATCTAGATCATAATCATTCTTTTAATGACAAATTTAAAATTCTTCACATTCAAAATAAAGGCCTTAAGCTATCTTTGTTAGAATCTATGGAAATCAACAAATTAAAAAACACAGATATAATTCTGAATGACCAACTTGAGACAAACAGTTCTCCCCTCCTCAACCTATTTCATTATAGACTATAAATTTGTAAACCCAAGCCAAAATAGATCACTTGAGAAAGGCAATCAGCCGAAACAGCTGTAGTGATAATATTTAAAATAAATTTTGTGGAAGTTTGAAAACAAAGTTTTCGGTGTTTTATTGTTACAATTCTCAATGTAAAATCATGAATATTATCAGTAATACTTACGTCAGTTCCTCTAATAACACCCTGTATCTTTCGTTTTTTCATAGAGAGGAGTTTCGAAAGAGCTACAGCGTGATCATGGTGAAGGCCTTTTTCTAATCGTTCGCACAAGTCTTTGTGTGCCACAAGGATATCTAAAAGAAGTCCTAGCCTTTCGCAGACATCATTCTGTTCTAAGTAAGCATGATGGCTGGACCGGTTGGTTAAAGCCGCCATTTCCCTAAAAAAATGCAATTAAAATATTTTTAATGAATTGCTATAAATCACAAGTTGATTCTTAGCTTTTTTCTTAATGGAACCTATGAAAATGACAGCCTTTCCAGTTATAAAATCGATTTTAGTGTTTGATAATGATCTGTATAGTCAACCGAACTTTTATATCGCACCATGATAATATCGGTTTTTCAAACAAATACCACCTTTAGTTTAAAATAATTAAAATATTCGTAAAATTAGATTTTTACTAAATGATGTTTCAAATACACTGTACAAAATAATTTTGAACTTGTAATGAACGCTAATGAATTTATTTTTGTTCTTTGATGTACAAAAAATATTAAATACAGAAGCTATTTTCTTTGCATCTTTTTATTTGGAAATATTTTTCACTGTACGATGATGTATATGCATGTGTCGGGTAGTCTTTTTGAAGATTCCGATTGTGATAAAATTAATTATTTACAATAACTATTGCAATTTTCTACAAATCTATAGCAATGGGTACATAGTATAGGTATTAATAAAAATTATTTTAGATATTATATAACCAATAAGAATCAACTGAATAGAATAAGCATATAGTACAGTACGGCAAGTGCATAAATGAAAGATGTAGAATAAGCATATGGTCATGCGTGTTCTTAATGCGGTTTTGTCGCATCAAAAATTGAGATGTAATGTGAATTTTACGAAAACAATGTATATTAAATATTATTATAATAGACAATATATACACAAAGGTTGTAGTTAATTTTAAATTTAAACGTACATAAAATAAAAAGCAGGTTAAAACCTTACTTTAAACCAAAAAATATTGTCTGGCTAATTGGTCTTTACCAAAGTCATCTAATTAAAAAAAAACCAAAAAATTGGTATTCTTCGCTACAATATTAATTCTAGATTTCACTACAATATTAATTAACGTCGCTACATAATTAATTGGAGCTACAAATATTTTCATCAGAACATTGCGTTGTTTGCTGCGTCGTCACCCAAGTCAATTATCATTTGATGAAAAACTGCATCAAGTAAAGGTTTTTTACACAAGGGTACCTATCCTCCATTGAAACGACTTTGTCGATAATTTTTTTCCATTTTTCAACAGAAAATGTATCAAACAGAAATGTATGCATCAGATAATTTCTTAACATTTATTGCAACAACAGTAATACCTCATGTCCAAAACTTGTAATAATACGGACAATTGAATACTCATCAAATCGAGGTTTATGAACTTTAATTTAACTCGTATAACTCTGAACTAAGCATTTCAGCATTGTAGGCTGCATTTCTTTTCCTAAGCCTTATTTGCTGGATGTTTATCCTTTTGTTTATCTATCCGTTCATATAGTCGTGAAAATCACCGGTTGTAGACGTGCACCTTTAATAAATACCCTTTCGCTTTATTAGCATTTTTACACAAAATAGATGTAAGTAAAGGATTGTTCTCATGCATGGGTTAATGCAACAGATAGCCTCCGGAGCAACAGAACAGACAAAAGAGCTGCAGAAGAAAAAAAAAAAAAAAAAAGAATTGTACGCAAACAAAAACAAACAATATTTTGAATATACTACGAGAAATCGCTTCTCCTTACTGCCTGTAATAAATGATTCAATTACTATTACGACATTTAAAAAGCTCAAAGAGTTTATATACTCATTTTTATGAGTATGTATATACATAAATCAATTGTTTTCTAAGTCACGCTAAAAATTGATAAAATAATTTAAAAATAAAACTCGACGTCATTGACCAGTGACGAGTTATGCTGGTCACCGCATAACTCCGTATTTTTCTTACGGAGAATTTTCTTATTTTCCCCCATTCCAAAATTTTTTATATGGTTTTCAAATCATACTTATATTATGTACTTAGTGTGAAAATGAATAAATGTGAACGTACTTAGTTTGAAAATGAATAAATGTGAACAATGTTGACATCGATTACAATACTTTATTAAGAATATCAACGAATATTAATTCGATCTTTCTGGTGATAACCATACTAGCGATTTATAAATAAAGTTAAATGGGGAATATTTATTAATCAACAAATATTCTATAACTAGCTATAAATAGAAAATGGGCACGTTATACCTAAAAACGTAAAAACGCGTACAATCCCACGATTTAAAAGTTAATTACCTAGATAGGACGTTAAATCCTTTTTGCATGCCACTCCAATTTTCTAAGTTAGCCTGGCCAGGATCAAGGTTAAGAGCGCTAAGTGACTTTAACTGATTGATAAACTCTTCGAAATCTCTACCCGCTGAATTATGTCTTTCAACGTTTGCTTCTGTTAACTGTTTCATTTTACCTACGACGTTTACCAAGGTTCGTATATTTTGGGAGTTAACGGCAATTTGGCTGTGTTCAGGTGGCAAGAGTTCCTAAAAATACATGTTATTATTGTTGTTTTTTAATTATAAATTCTATTATACTAAATAATAATAATAAAAAAAAAAAAGAGAAATATATATATATATATATATATATATATATATATATATATATATATATATATATATATATATTCCGTCGACCGTCCATTTATGATCAATTTTAACACCCTCAAAATCATTGATTAATGACCCTTATAAATAAATGATTTTCTCTGAACGATTTCATTATAGGCAACACAAGATACATTGCTTGCATAAATTAATTAAACGCTCTGTGATTTCCAGTGATCTGTGGTGAAACAAGGCAACAAAACATATACCTATTTATATTCCCACTAAAAAATTTAAAATGAAGTAACCATAGATTAAAGGAGGGATAGATAACCAACTTCTGTACAAAAAAATGTTGTGATCATCAGCGCCACGTTGGAGTGTTCTGGTACTAATCAATATTTTTATCATGTTGGAGAGCTTGCTAATTGACAAACGCCTTGTGCAGTTGGTAATATTGTAAAGTTGGTAATATTGAGAGAACTCTAATCCTGTTTATATATTCGAATAAATGTGACAAATTAGTTCTGAAAGTTTTCAGAGACATTAAATTAGACCAATAATTTTCATTTAATCAAACTCAAAACATGTTGTAATTAATACATAATATTAAATTAATATGCTATGAGAGTAGGAATCATAGAAGCCTGTACTAAATTCTAACTTAACTTAAAACAAAAACAAATATCCTCATACCACGCCTTAACTAAACAATTAATATTCTAATCCTAAATACGATATTCCTTGATCTAACAGCACTTTTAACTAAAACACAAAAAACAAATATTGATTAATACTTAATCATCAACATCAATTAATATTCGACATTCAAGAATTATGACAATAACATTCGACAGACGCCAGTTATGAAGACATCGCTATTTTAGCACAAAACATTAATAATATTTTGTGATCTACAGAATCTACCGATAATAGCGCTTGGTGGTGTGTTCTGTAACTAATTCAATGATTACATTTTATGGATTGAAGTTGAACCCCCCTGGAAGTAACCGCTGTTAGTACTATCTGTCATTGTATGTCATTATTTACTTTATTGTTTAAAATTCTGTGTATTTGAAAAATCAAAAGATGGATATTGACGAAGAATTTAATTTAACTTCACCAGAAGTGGCAGAAACTGCAAATTAAAATATCTTTAAGTTTACTGCCTGAAAAAAAGCAGAGTGTTGTACAAAAAAACATACGCTGAATTTATTGCATGGTGTGACGAGAGAAAAATAATACGATCTTCAAAATCTGTATTGTTGATTTATTTTCCAAACATTGCCGAAAAAGGACTAATAGCAAGTTTGTGGCCCAAATATTCGATGATAAATTCAACCTTAAGTTTAAAATCAAACATTGATATATCTAAATATAATAAGTGAATTATTTTTATCAAGAAAAAAAGAACAGGTTATATACCAAATAAATCAAAAACACTGAAAAAGAACAAGTCCAGAAATTCATCTCTGATGCTCCTATCGACGTGTTTCTAATGATAAAGATAAACCAGTAAATTAAGTTTATATATTTAATACTCGTACTTCATAACATTTCATTTTGTAGATTGCATTGATTTTCGAAGTGGCTGGTGCGTTAGGAAAGGACGAACTATTGAAATTAAAAACAAATAACGTTCAAGACTTGGCGTCAAAGTTTCTTGTCACAATAAAAATATCAGAAACACACACAAATACAATATTTACCATAGTAGATAACGAAGCAAATACCATTCTCAATGCGATCAAAAACTATATTTCTTTAAGACCGGCACACACACCACATAAACGATTTTTCATTTTTTATAAAAACAACAAATGTTTCACACAGCCAGTTAGCATAAATACGTTTTCCAAAATTCCAGCATCTCTACACTGGGCATCGTTTTAGAAGTTTCTCTGCCTCAATCCTGTGTGACAGTAGTGCAGACTTTTCAGCTATTAAAAGACTAGGTGGCTGGAAATCGACTGCTGTAGCAGAAGTTTATATAGATAATTCTATGCAGAATAAACTTGAGACGGCTGAAAAACTCTTGGGACAAAATACCACTACACCTTGTCAATGTACTTCCTTCAGCACCACCGATTCTTGTTCTATCACAGAATTTACAGAGGTCCAAGAAGACTTAAATAAAAATTCGTCAAAATGCTATACAGCAGATAATCATTTATCAATACCTTCCTTTAATTTCAGTAATTGTACTATTTCAAATATTAATGTTTAAAATAATAAAACTACCACTAAGGAAAATTAAACTTTGAATAAAGTTAATGAAAGCTGAACAAATTGTTGTTTATCGTTAAGTAAATAAAAATTTAAACTAAGATATCTTTATTTCTGAAAAGTACGGTCGACGGAAAAGTTTTGTAACAAACTCGTGAATTAAAATGGCGATTAACAATCTCGAACATTAACGCGCTCGCTCCGCTCACGCGTTAAAATATCTCAATTGTTAATCGCCCTTATTAATACACTTGTTGGTTCATCATCATCATAGGCCTCCCTCAGTTCTTTCCAATGTTCTCTACACTGGGCCGCTTGTAGCCAGTTTCCCGCTACACGCTGTTGGTTATATAACTAATATTATACTCTCCAAAATTAACACACCACTTTAACTGTACTATAAGCTTGAAGTATTTTTCTTCTGAACCATTGTTTGGATTTAGATGATTTTTATTTTACATTATGGGTCTACACACTAGGTTTCACATTCGGGCTCTTTGAAGATAGGACTAATACCCAGCTGTTAGCGTATTTTGACATAAGAGGGACATTCGGTAAGTATATGTCGGATTCAAAGAGTCGTCTTACAGTACTGACATTTTGGTTGTGGAAATGATGTCATGAGATAAACTAGGACAGGTAAATATATTCACTGAGGCTTTAATTTCAAGCAGCGCTGAAGTAACTTTATTCCAGCGAATTTGTAAGGTAAATAGATCAAGCTAATTCAATCGATTGTTTTGCTGCTTTGCGTGTGTAGTTGACATGGATTTCAAGATTTTCACGTATTTCAAGAAATCTGATTTTAGCTAATGTAGGATTAAGTAATCGTGAAATACTATATGTCATACTATAATATAGTAAGGTTAAAATTATGTCATACTACAATATCACGAGTGTTCAACGTTTTCGAGAAACAAACGACCATACGAGACGGCCTGGACAAACAAGAGGAAGAGTCATAACATCACGCCACGATCAATTTATCAGACTTCGTGCTATAAGGGAGCATTTTTTCACAATGAGACTTTTACAAATACAAGTGGCAGATGTTTATACTATTCAAATTAGTAGAAATAACATACGAAGGCGTTTCGCTGAACTAGATTTGCATATAAGAATACCAGCCAGAGCACCAGCTTTAAACGTAAATTATCGTAGAAGATTGTACTTTGCAAAAGACCTTGACTACAATGTTGATGATAGGGAGCACGTATTTTCTCAGATAAATCGGGATATTGCTTATATTTAGCTTATAGTTCAGATAAATGTGTAAGTTATTCGCTGCAACGTACAACTTATGATTTTATTTAATGCAAGATCTGTAATGCATTAGGGAGAATCTTACAGGGCGAGTTGATCTCGTTGTTTCACGAAGAGGTTTCTTAACAAGTGAAAGTTATATTATAGACATTTTGCCTAAGCATATAATTTCCTTTACACCTTACATAGGAAATAATGTTCTTTTAATGCATTTATCCCATAGAAAATTTGTAGGATATTGATCATCAACTCAGGAGCCGACAACCACCACCTGCCTTCCTTGACGATATAGAAATTATGGTAAGAGATATTTGAGATGCAATTGATTAAGACCAAATATGACGCTTGATTTTAGGTATACCTACTTGCTATGAAGAATTAATTAGAAATAGAGGCGGAAATACTCATTTTTAAGTATTTTTAAAAGAGGGAACTTAATAATTGACATCTACTGAATTGATTTTCAGGTAGATGATGAATCTTTTATTCAAAATTGCTCTAGTTGACAGAACGGGTCAACAGATGCGACATGCAATAACAGCAACACCTTCCCCCACTACCGACCTTTGCAAAATTTCAATGGATTCACGTTTCACCTCTGGATACGTTAAATGTTTGAGTTGCTGTCCATAAATCTCCGGGGCTGTTCGTTTCTGTTTCTGGATACGTGGAGTAAGTGAGTTAGCGTGTCCAACAGATTTTTTTTGCTACTAAAGAAGCTATCTAGAAGGCTAGTGAAATATTGAGGTGGATCCACATACAAGTCGTACAAAAAGAACATGACCGAAACCCGAAGGACGATTAGTTAATTATGACTCTGGCCTCCGATTTAATTTAAAATTAATAACTTCACTTATTGATTCTTAACGACATAGTTTAGTGAAACAAACATTTAATGTCGATAAGTACAACTCATATAAAATAGAAATCTATGATTTGTTAGTAAAAATAATAACAATTTTATGTTGTTTTTTTTGTGATTTCATATACATAATAAATTATGTATTACTAACTGCTTAAAAACAAATAATTGCCCAGCGACTATTTTTACCCATGATGAAATTGATGTAATGTGATTAAATGTAAATATAATCGATCGCCACATATAAAGGCAGTAGGTGAAGTGATCAAATATACATATAATAAAACAATAAAAAATATCTAGAAAATAATTTGAATACAGAGAAACATAATAGATTGTAAAGGTTTATTGGATATATAGTTTAAGTAATTACCTTCGCATTAGCGGCAACATCGGAAGTCATGAACTCATCGGGAATTCTACCAAAAATATCTTTTATCCTATGTTGGCAATCGGGACCTTGATCTGTAAGGAAGAATATCACTATCGAGTCTTGTGATATGATGGGATGTCGACTGACTAACGTCATCCATCTTTGGAGAGCCCTTCTTCTCGTTTCTAAAAAATGTGCATCTGAAACCATTTTTTTAGGAGGTAGTGAAGGGACTAACCTAAAACATATACGTGAATTTATTTAGTGAAATGAATACATATTTATACAAACACATATATTATTATTCAATGAGCCTATAGATTAGAGAATTCAAAAAGGGCGTTTGGGCCCATAGATCTTTCTACAATGCGCCTTTAAGATCTTTTGTGTATATTATAAATCTATTGTTTAGTCCAAAACATTTCTAGGTGAGCCTCTTATCCGTTTCAGAGCTACGTTTGTTACCAAATCATGTTATAAAAATACATATTCCCTCAGATTTTTGGAATGCTCGTCGAATGGTCTTTCAATCACAACTTCTTCTTCTTCACGTGCCATATAAGAGATAACCGCTAATAAATCGCTATCGAAGGCTTCTCGATCTTCTGTTACATGGAATAATTGTTCTGTATTCGATATCTAAGTCCATTCATGAATGTTTTTTGATCAAAAAACCTGTTTTCTTCAATTCTGTTCATACTTGATGCTTTTAATGTCCACACTTCTGCTCCATACAAAAATACAGAGAAAATATATCACTTATTGTGATATTGTGATATTTTATGATTATATAAATAATTAATGTAAATAAATGTAAATTTAAATAATACAATGGTATATAACATCACTTTCATCTAACAAACAATCACATTACACCTATCTCTACTTCATTGGATCAAATCTATCTCCTCAAGAACTTCCCGTTTATTGTCAAACAACTACAATAGCAGACTTAAGTTCTCCATTCAACAATACATGATAGTTTTAACCATGTTCTACCATCCATCAATTAATAGAGTACCGGCATTCAAGTAATGTTTTATTTATTTGCTCATTTATTAATTTATTACAATCTAATAGACTATTTTATAACAAGTTGTGGGTCTTACCTTGTCTGTTAAAACTTTTTATACCTTTTTATTCATTTTGAAAAACCACAGACATGTAATATTGGCATAATTATTGTAATTTTATAACATCTACTTTGTTTATCTTTATTAGAGACAACACCCTAATATGGGTTTATTATTATTTCAGCATTTATTAAACATTGTATCGAGACCTGAAGATACTTTGCATATTGTAGAAAGCGAAACCGGTCGTCTGATAGTTAAATTAAATTGATTGTGAGTAAGTCTTATTTATTATTTCTTTACCTTTTTTAAATATATTTTATTTTATCAAATGTTTTATATAAATTTATTTGGCAACAAATTAGTTTATTTATACAACTTACGGGTCCAATGGACCAGAATGATATTTCTGGAAAGACTTGAAAATGAACTACTAAACAGTCACATAAGGCGACGTTGCTTTCAAGAAAATATATCTCGAACTACTCGTTTAAATTATCTGAAATATTTGGTTCTCAAAATAACAATCAACCACATCTTAATAATGTTTATAGCCGATATGCATATTGTTCTTCAAAAAACAATATAAAATCCAAATATATTTGTTACCGATGTTATAATTACATGTGTCTAGAGCATATCACAGTTCTTCACAAGACTTCTCACTAAAAGTTTCACTCTATGTATAGTTTTACGAATTTTTATTTTCCTTTTTTATTTAAAGCTTTTTCTATATTAACCAATCCAGAAGTTGTAATAAATCTCTATCATCCAAGTATTTCCTCAGCACTTTACAAAAGAGACAAATAAATACATTAGTGTAGAAGCTTCACTTCCAAACAAAAATCTCTTTGTAAATCTAAGCAAATTTCTAAGCATTTAGTAATGCGTTGAGAATTTAAAATGAGTGAATACGAGGATATATTGATATTAAAGTAGCCTTTGATAGATGGCGCTACTTGATACCGAATTGGTTTCGGTGTTGACATTTGCCATTCATGACATGACGTCTGTCAAAATTTTAAGTTTTAAAAAGAATTAGTTTGGTTTTTACAGCCGTCAAAAGCAAGCAAATTTTGTGTTTTCGGAGAAATGGAAAAAGTCGAGTATCGTTCGGTGATTAAGTTCCTTCACAAAAAGAGTAAAACGAATATACAAATCAAAACCAACCTAGACGAAGTTTATGGTGAGGTTGCAACGCAAAAAACTTGCTCTTTCACCAAGACAATGCACCGGCTTACCGATCGGCCGTCGCCATGGCAAATACACGAATTAGGCTATGAATTGGTTGAACACCCACCGTATTCCCCAGATCTTGCGCTAGCGATTTTTTCCTGTTTCCAAACTTCGACCTATTTTGAAGAGATCGAGCAATAGCACTATTCGGATGGGATAAAAAAAAATTGGAACATCATCTTACTAAGTGTATCGAGCTAAAAGGGGACTATGTTGAGAAATAAATCGATTTAATTCCAAAAAACTTGTTTTTTCTATCAAAGGCTAGTTTTATATCAATCCACCCTCATAGTTCTGTAGTAAACGTAACAGATTCCGAAAACCATTTTATATTTTCCTTCCTCCTATTTTCTTTACTTTTTTGTGAATTTTATAAATTCAATGACGCCATTTTAGCAGCTTTTTTTACTTCAGACAGAGTTAAAATATATCATTTCCATCTTCAGTGTCCATTTATTTTTTGTAAATTTTTTTATAAATTATTTTGCAGTCCAAACTTGAAGGTTCTTTAACTATTTTTCTTTCTCCTATTTTCTTGATTTTTTTGTGAATTTTATAAATTCAATGACGCCATTTCAACAGATTTTTATACTTCAGACAGAGTTAAAACATATCATTTCCATCTTCGTTGTCCATTTATTTGTAGTAAATTTTTTTATAAACTATTTTGCAGTCCAAACTTGAAGGTTCTTTAACTAACAAATATCACCTACAACCTACTAATAACATTGTTGAAAAATTTCCTGCTACTATTAATAGTCTACATTACTTAAACGCCATGCCGACTTGTTTTTGAAATTATCTTGACAATAAACAAACCGAATTAACTGTAAATCACCATGGCAATTATGTTAAACTATTCAGGAACATTTTAGATTAGTTAATTAGTTATGTATTGTGTCTGTTAGTAACAAATGACTTGGTCTTTTGCTTTTATTTAAAAAGTTTATTTTTTACCTTCTTTCGAAAGGGAACAATATGATTTTTGTAAAAACGAAACACAACAGCGGCTATATTAGCTCTGTGTGACATCATAACTGAGACTTTTCAGGCGGTATAGATTGTAGCTTTCACCCTGTGTGACCTTCTTCTTTTCACCTGAATTATTTCCTAAAAAGTTTATCTATTACTGGAGTTAGATGAACTTATGCTTTGGGTGTATTTGACTGATAGACGGCATCAGATCTAAACAGTGCGGCAGACGCACCACCTGAGTGCTGAATGGTCATATTTGCAGTGGATACTCATAATATGTAGGAACATAATATCTAAGCGTATGACTGGTTTTTCTCGAATCGTTAAACAATCGTTAAAAAAATTAAAATATAATTTTTTGTTAAAAAACGGGATAGAAACTTAAAGCCCAATAAGTTCTTATTATTGGCATATACACTTTATAGAATTTATGAAGCCAGTGCAAGACCAATAATAAGATATGCCTCAGAAACAAGACCCGACACAGCCACGACGCAAAGGTTACTGGAAACTGCAGAGATGAGAGCATTGAGAAGAATTACAGGAAATGTAATTCTTTTAAATGAAAAAGAGAAGTAAGACATTAGAAGAAAATGTAACGAACAGTGTATAAATGGACACAAAACAGAAAAAAGAATGAAATAACCACATAAGCAGAATGGAAGAGATCCGTGTCGTCAAAATAGCAAGAGATAAGTCACCAATCGGCGGAAGAAGTGTAGGACGACCGCGTAAAAGATGGAGTGACAACCTTCCATAGAGGTATTAATCCGCCAATGAGCAATCTGAATTGCTTATAAAGAGAAAGAAGAAGAAGAAGAAGAAGGCATTAAGGAGCCAGGAAAAGGCACTAAGATCAAATGTGTCACCACCTGAGGTAGGAAGAGTGTTTGTAGAAGTACATATGAAATCGATTATGCATTTGTAGGCAACTTGTTGTCAAGTGGTATTTTTCCGAAGCTGTGGTGGAGGAGGAGGAGGGGGGTTTGTTTTGATCGACAGGGAATGAAATGAGAGAGAGAAACCAATATATAGACCACTGATGACAAAGTTAGTTAAAGGTTTTTTATACTAGAAACTGCTGGGAGAGTTAGAGAGAGTGGGAGGCATAGCCGAGACATGGTATGTGTTTCGACGAGGTCGGTCGATGGTGGGAGCAATAATGCAGGCCTCAATAAGATATTGCAAGTATAGTGAACACTGGTACACGACTGTTTTATTAACACTGGATGAACATAATTGACACATATTAACACTGGATGGATTGAGCCTTTCGAAGTCCGTTCTAAAGGGTGAATTCTCCAGGATATGAGCGGAAGTAGGTAGTCTTTTATCTGGTTTGAGTGATAGGCGACTATCTAAACTAGGAACGAAAATATATATGAACGAGGAGTCTAGTTTTAATATGAGTGCAAGTGCACCAAGAGAGCGTGCTTTCGTTACGATCTGGTAGTCGTGATTAGAACGTAAAAGGAATTGAAAGAGAATGTGCGTTACCTTGGGTTGAGTTTAGAGCGGAACCTGAGGATGGGCGCGCTTGTTGAGCGCGTTGTTAAGAGAACAGGAATGATATTTACTACACTGATGGTGAATATTAGTGGATCCAGGGAAAGTGCGAAGAGATTGGTGTTCTAAAAGTGCAAGCATGGATGTAGGTTTTTTAATCGACAAATACGCCTCTAAAATTAGAGGATTTTAGAAAAAGATACTCCTTAGCCATAGTAGGTTGACTTTGTAGTAGCCAGACTATCATGTCAACGGATGCGGTGGCAATGCTAGTCGGTCTGCTACCAATAGATCTGATATCTAAGGAAAGGACGAATAATTGGGAAAGAGTAAAAGGAGATTGAAGACATGAAAGGGAAAGGATGATCATTTAATGGCAGCGAAGATAGACGGAAGAGAGATGGAAGGCTCACTGGACCCGGTATCTCATTACTAAAAACTACCATCTGTCTCAAGTTTTTAGGGGATATGGTTGTTTCAGCTCTTATCTGAAACGGAGTGGAAAGAGGAGACTGAGATGTGTGTACATTGTGAAGATAAATATGAAGATACTTCGTAGCATATTTTGTATGTGACGGATAGATGAAAGAATGACGGGAGCGTGAAGGGATTAAGTGAGAGGATCACAAGTAGAAGGCGAGAATGACATAGGCAGGCGAGAATGACATAGTTTATACTAAAGCAGTGTAGATGCGATGGAGAGCGGGTGCGAATGAAGAAGGGTAAGATAAATTACTACTACATAGGTTTTCCATCATCCTCCCCACAACAGATGGAGGTTTTTAGTAGGTAGTCAAAAATTTACTTCAGTCAATCTGATAGACGCTTAAACAAACGTATATCAGAACACAAAAGTGCTTTCAATAATAGAAAAACAGATTCTACGTACGGAGTTCACCTTCAAGATCATAATCCTTCTTTTAATGACCAATTTCAAATTCTCCATTTTTAAAATAAAGGCTTTAAGCTATTTTTATTAGAATCAATAAATTAAAAAATACAGATATCATTATAAATGACCAATTTGAGACAGACAGCTTCTTCTTCTTCTTAGCCTTCTGTCGTCCATGTTTGGACATAGACCTCTCCCAACTCCTTCCATCGTTCCCTATCCTGAGCAACATATTTCCAATTTGTTCCGGCTATTCTTTTAATGTCATCAACCCATCTCATCTGTGGTCTCCCTCTTGGTCGTTTACTTTCGTAAGGTCTCCCGGACAGACAGCTTACTCCTTCTCAAATGATTCAAGTTAAAGACTATAAAGTGTAGACACGTAGTAAAAATTGAGAAAGGCACTTTGCCCAAGCAGCTGTAGTGATGATAAATTGTAACATTTGTGGAAGTGTTGAAAACAAAAGTGTTTTTTATTGAAAAGTGTACTTGATTTCCTGGAAACATTTTGATCTCTATGATGAACATTTAAAAACCATTCAACAACTGTGCAACTGCATGATGCTGCAACTGTACTAACTAACTCCCTGCAACTGAAATAGAGGCGCCAGAAGATTCTTCTTCTCCAGACATTTTCTAGAAAAAAAGAAAATAATTGCTAAATTTTTGAAAAATTGTAGAGAAAAAGCAAAAGACATTGTTCAGCGGAAATGTCTTCTTCTTCTTCTTTTTATATATGACTCTGTCTTTTTTCAATGTGTCTCTAGTTAGAAACCGTCTCTTGCCATCTTTACTACTCTTTTTATTGTCATTCGGCTTATATGATCCTTCCATTCTTCTCTTCTATTTCTTACACAGTTCTTGATGTTCTCCACCTTGTATCTAAGTCGTATATCTGTACTTCTAGCTCTGTCCCATATTGTCTTAACACAAATTTTTCTTAGTGTTTTCATCTCTGTTGTTTCTAACATCATTTTTGTCCTCTCTGTGTCATCTCTTTTTTTGCCGCATATGTCATTATTGGTCTGATGACTGTTTTTGTAAATTCTGCCTTTCGTTTCTTTCCCGATATTTTTATTTCTTTATAATGTTTCATTCAGGCAGTCTGTGGCTCTGTTTGCTCTGTTCACTTGTTCTTTCACTTCTGTTTCGATATTTCCGTAGCTAGATAATGTGATGCCTAGATATTTCTTCTTCTACGGCACCACAGCCCAAAATGAGCCTTGGCCTCCTTTATTTTTTGCCTCCACCCTTGTCTGTCTGTGGCTGCTCTTCTCCATACACGGACTCCTAAAAGTGCTTGTGCGTCGCTGCTTACTGTGTCTTCCCAGCGCTTTCTTGGCTTTCCAACTGGTCTCTTTCCCTGCATTCTGGCGTTCAGTGCTCGTTTTGGTAGCCTATCCTCTCCCATTCGTATCACATGTCAGGCCCATTGCAATCTTTGTATTCTAATGAAGTTTGACAGGGATGTTTCCTTATACAGTTGATAGAGCTCGTTGTTATATCGAATTCTGAAGATTCCGTTTTCCCTCACAGGTCCTAGTATTCTCCTCAGTACTTTTCTTTCGAATGTGTCGAGTTTGTTTTTGGATGTTTCTTTCAGGACCCATGCTTCGCTGCCATAACATGCTATTGGCCGAATTAAAGTTTTATATATTCTCATCTTTGTATTTCGGTGGACACTTTTAGACCGAAATATATGGAAGAGGGCAAAATAAGCTTTGTTTGCCTGCGTTATCCTTTTTCGTATTTCTCCATCCTCTGCTCCATCGGCATATATTTCTACTCCCAGGTATGTAAACTTTCCAACCGTTTCAATGTCATCTTCATGTATAATGTTTTGTGGGATTATATTTCTTCTCGTCTGTACCATTATTTTTGTTTTTTCTGTGTTAATTTCCAGACCTAGCCTTTTCGTTTGTGTTTTTAACTCTGCGTATGCTTCCTGTGCTCCTGTTGATGTTCTACTCATAATATTAATATCATCGGCGTAGGCAGCCAGTTGAACCGTTTTATTGGTCAGTAGGTTTTCTCGTCCAGTTTGCATTTGTCTGACCGCATACTCCAGTGCCAGGTTAAACAATGTTGGTGCCAGCCCATCTCCCTGCTTTAGTCCCTGCGAGATTTTGAAAAAGTCTGTCCGGTTGTTTTGTATTCGTACACATGCCTGAGTTTCATCCATTGTGGCTTTAATGAGTCTAATTAGCTTATATGGTATTGCTAATTCTGCCAATATATAGTATAGTCTGTCCCTTTTGACTGAATCGTATGCCTGTTTGAAGTCTACAAACACGTTGGAAACATCAATGTCGTGTTCCCACGATTTGCTCAAGACCTGCTTGACTGTAAATATTTGATCCATTGTCGATCTTCCCCGTCTGATATTCTCCAATAATATTTTCTGCTAGTGGTTGGAGTCGCTGGTTTATAATATACGTGAGGACTTTATACGCTGTACATAGTAGAGAAATTCCACGGTAGTTTTTGCATTGGAGTTTGTCTCCTTTTTTATAGATTGGGCATACTATACTTTTCTTCCATTCGTCGGGTATTTTCTCTTCTTGCCATATTTCTTTGATAAGCGCGTGGATATGACTTGATAGGTGGTTGCCACCTACCGCCTAGATATTTAAACAGCTGAAATGTTAATAATAAATGTAATACGAAGACTTACTATAAGACATTTGGAAATAACTGTTTTATAGGTGATAAAGAAACCATATTAAAGACTTTATCCAACTATTATAAACTTAAATTTCTCTTACCTGAACATATTGTCGTAGAGCGAAAGATGCACTGACAATTTATTATTCTTAAGATAATGACATTTTTGTTGTGTTTATATTAAATTTCTGTTATGAATGATTGGGAATTGGAGTAATCATAATTGTTAATTCTTATTATAGTTTGTCTTTATTTTAACTTTTTTTTGTTGAGTTGTCCTATTATCTGCATATGAAAGGACCAGATTTAAACTTTTCCGGAAATTTTAGACAGATAATAAATAAATAAATTATATAAGAATACTTACCTATAAGGAAATCTATTAAGTAACAATTCTTTCAATGCAACAAAATCATTATATCTTCTGGTAACTTTAGTCTTAAATCGTTCGGACGTAACGACATATTCTGAGTATTTTATAAATAACCCTTTCTTTTCAGGTACTAGGTGAACGCTAATAGAATCTCTTTTCGTTATGTTAGAATATTTAAATTCGGCGGAGCGGGATTTTTTGTGAAGTGTTATCTTCATGTTCTTAATTTGAGCAAGATCGGTTATCTCTGGACTTGGATATTCTAAAAAAAAAAACAAAAAAAACTGATAGAATGTATTCTCAAAAGAGAAAAGTTTGTTTAAGGGTTAACAACTACTGAAAAATTTGTGATTGAATATTATGTTTTATAATTTGCAATGTAAGTTTAAATACCTACTTACTATTATTACGATTATTGTTAGTATATAATAAGATATTGAAGAATCATAGCTATTAAAAAAAACTTACAATGAAGTAAAAACTTCCTTTGTAAAATGGTATAAAATTTTTATTAATTTTTTTAAATTACCCAAAATGGATTTATAAATTATCAGAACGTTTTTGATTATACCAGATCATCATCAGTGAAAAATCTACAAATAAGAATAACCACTTAAAAATGAAAACAAAAGGGTAAATTTCGACTGTTAAATTGAAAATGTGGTTAATACTTACGTCTATAAAGTAGTTGAACTAACCATATAATAAGGCCAGATGACTCTTAAATTAGGGTAACGAACATTAAGACACTATGTCGATGATAAAGGATTACATTTTTTAATAGAATGTACAATTTCCCAGCACGAAAAAGGGGACCTTACGCCCTGAGTGGCAACACCCAACTGTTGTCAGAAGGAAGTAAAAATTGTTTTGGAAAGACAAGATCTTTCAGACAAGTGATAGGTAGTTTTTAAAAATTTATCAGATAATATATGCCCATTAAGAGTGTTATTTATCCAATTTATATTAAAATTATATTATTGTTTTAAAAGATATTGACTTGTATGTATAGTAGTATTTAGTGACATAAATTTAGTGACTTTTAAAGTGGTTCATGAGGAGAAACCTCATCAAAACATAGTGGTTAAAAAAAAGCTTTATTTTTGTTTCTTAAAAAAGGATCTAGCATTAAAACTAAGCACGTTACGTTCAAAATAAAGTTGGTCACTTTTTGTCAAAAAAAAAATCATGAAAATCACCCCCTAATTAGCACCGCAAACGAAATTATTCGTAAGTAAAAGAGGTATTAAACTAAAATTTTTTTTTAATATTGTTCTGAAGCTATTTTCTTGTGGCATTTTAAAGTAATTACTATTTAAATGGGAATAAGCCACGATTAAAGGTTAAAGTAAGTTTAAGTTTTAACTTTGGAAATCGTTTCCAGAATACAAACATTACGTCAACCCTTAATTGTGGCTTATTCCCATTTAAACAGTATTTTTTTTAATTTTGAAAATAACTCAAAAAGTATTAGTGCTACGAAAAATCTCGAAGAGTAAAAAATATAGGTTTTGCTTCTACCACCTCATGATTAGTGACACGTTTAAGCCATTTCAACTACAACTCTTTCAAAAATAAGGTTTTAAAATCCTTCAAAATAGTTTTTTATTATTTTTAACTTACATACAGTTAACTTACATACAGATCTCTGCATCTGATTTCGAAGAAATACTGTTAACCTCAAATCTAAACAGTCAACAAACGAAAATAAATCTGGAACTGACTACCGTTATCAAACAAAATTTTAACGATAATTTTAAATATACTGTTTTCCAAAAAAATGCGACACCTAGGACAAATATTTTTGGAAGACCTATTTCTTCATGGAAGTATAGGGGAGCCTGGGTACGGTTGTAACAGGGTACGGTTGTAACAACTCGAATATTATCGAAACTGTGTACGGCAGGCGAGGGGCACAAGGGAAGGGATACGCAGACAACGTGGCCCGACACGATTCTCAGTACTGCATCACCTTTCGCGCGGTATTTACACTATTAGTGAGACCTATTGTGTTTTGTCAACCAAAAGTAAGTATTTTTGAGGAATTTCTTTCTGTTATAACTTAAATATTAATATTATCACGTATTTCAAAATATGCTTATATAATCGTCGCAGTTTAGAGATTATAATAAGCTTATTTGTTTTTGTATAGGCTATGCTACTTCGTGCTTGCGACAGTATTATTATCAAAATGTGGGGTGGGGACGGTTGTAACGATTTTCATGGGGACGGTTGTAATAGTAATTTTAACATTACTGTAATTTTATAGGCACTATTTTTGTATTACAGATGCCTAGGCAACGCATAAGAAAGACCTCGAGAGGCGAAAACGACATATTGTTGTACAAGAACGCTTACGATGAAATTAAATTAGGTGCTTCTTTAAGAAGAGCAGCAGATAAGTACAAGCGAATTTTAGATGCAAGCGAAAAAGAGATGCGATAAATGAAGATGCCCAGGAACAGCTGGAAAATATTAAAATGGGATATGTGGCTCATAACAGAGTTTTTAACGAAGACCAGGAACGGCAATTAGCGAAGTATCTCATTCGTTGTGCGGATATATATTTTGGTCTCTCCACAAAAGAGGTAAGAAAGTTGGCCTTTGAACTTACCGTAAAATATAATTTAAACGCTCCTTCCACTTGGCTGGAAAATAAAATGGCTGGAGAAGAATGGTTTCGTTCATTCATGAAGAGAAATTCCGAACTATCTATCCGCGCTGCTCAAGCCACAAGCCTGTCTCGGGCGACAAGTTTCAACCGATATAATGTCAATGTGTTTTATGATAATCTTCAGACTGTTATGGATCGCGATCACTTTGAACCTCAGGATATATATAATGTCGACGAAACTGGCGTTACTACAGTACAGAAGCCTGACAGAGTTGTTGCAAGACGTGGCACAAGGCAGGTGGGCGCAATTACTTCTGCTGAACGAGGCACTTTGGTCACACTAGCATTTGCAGCTAACGCATTAGGCAACGCCATTCCACCTATGTTCGTGTTTCCTCGAATTAGATATCAAGAGCATTTCATTAGAGACGGACCAGTGGGATCAATCGGTGTCGGTAATCCATCAGGGTGGATGCAAGATGAGTCATTCATTATATTTCTTAAACATTTTCAAAAACATACGAATGCCTCTTTGTCGCATAAGATATTATTGGTGCTAGACAATCATTCGTCCCATATACATATCAACTCCTTAGATTTTTGCAAAGATAATGGGATAGTATTACTGTCATTTCCGCCCCACTGCTCTCACAAGCTACAGCCCTTAGATAGATCCGTTTATGGGCCTTTCAAAAAAGCCATTAATACTGCCTGTGATGCCTGGATGCGAAATCATCCAGGAAAAGTCATGACTATTCACGACATACCGGGTATTATAACTATCGCAATGCCACTTGCTCTCACTCAGGTGAGTATCCAGACAGGGATCTTCCCATTTAACCGCGATTTGTTTCAAGAAATTGATTTTGCGCCATCGTTCGCGACAGACAGGCCTAATCCAAATGCTACTGAAGAGATGGGCATTTCTAATCAACATAGCATTAGACTTGCACCTGATGACGAATTACTATCACCTTCGTTATTGAATGAGGATCCACCTTCATTCGGCGCAGTAAGCCCAACTGAGTCCGAAAATAGAGCTTCAGCGAAAGAGGCTGCATCGCAGTCATTTACTAACAGTGATCCTAAAAAGGAAACATTCATTGACCATCAAATGCTCACACCAATTGAAATAGCCGAGCTCGAAGCAACAAAAACACCGCCTAGACAAACATCTCTAGAACCTAGCCAAGAATGGCAAGCTGGTACAATAAATCTGGAATCAGACATCTCTCCTCGTGATGCTGTTTTGTGTCAGCCATCAGAACTGTCTACAAGCAAGCAGTCTGTGTTCTCGCCTGAGACTTTACGGCCTTACCCTAAAGCTCCACCTAGAAAACTAGGAAACAGAGGTCGAAAAACCAAAAAGTCTGCTATCTACACAGATACTCCAGAAAAGGAAGCTGCTAGAAAGGAGTATGAAGAGCGACAGAAGCGGTTGAAAAATAGACAAACAAAGAAAAAAGTACTCGAGTCATCTACTGGAAAGATAATCAAAAACAAAGGGAAAGGAAAAGCGAAGAAAATGAAGATTAATACACCATCAGAATCATCATCAGAAGAAGAATATTATTGTCTTATTTGCTTAGACACCTATTCAGTGAGTCGATCTGGAGACAGTTGGATTCAGTGCCAAGGTAGCTGCAAACAATGGTCTCACGTGGCCTGTACTGATGGAAGTAGATATTATATATGCCACAACTGTGATGAGTCTGATTAAATATAGGAAAATATAATTTGTTTAAGCTCAGATTTTGTTTGATATTTTTTATTAATAAATTTGATTTTGATTTTGTTTGGTATTTTTAATTAATAAATCTGATTAAAAAATAATAAAACTGATTTTATATGTGTGATTTATGTATTATTTTTGATTGTTACAACTGTCCCCTATTCGTGTTACAACCGCCCCTGGTATGGGGTCGGTTGTAACAATCGCACACACTTATTTAAATGACATATTCCCTCCAAACTATTTTACTTGAGCTATTGGTTTTGACAATAATTTAAAGACAAATGAATATTACTTCACATCAAAGACTTTGATCGTTGCTTACAGCTATAATAGCTGTGCTATGAAGCACTAAAGGAAAATTGTTACAACCGTACCCAGTCTACCCTACATCATAATATTCCTATTATTTGATTGTAAACAAATTTGCAATGTCATTTTCGTCAAAAAATTAATAAATAGTGTCTCCTCCTTGATATTCTATACACTCAGTTACACTCTGGGACGTGAGACATAATACTTAAACCAAACCGAATACACATATGTTCGATACGTGACAAATCAAGTGATCTTGATGGCCACTCCAAAGTTTCTATACCAGATTCTTGTATGAACCCCATGGTTTCACGGGCAATATGAGGTCTTGCGTTATCCTGTTGAAAGGTCGGATTTGGATAGATTTGTAGGTACGGATGTAAAACCGGTGGCAGTACTTCACCAATATGTCTTGGAGCTTTCAGAGTCCGTTAATAACAACTAGAGGTGATCTACTTCCCAAACATATAGCACCCTATACTATAGTGCTCGGTTGTCTTGCTGTATGACGTTCAACAGCAAGCCTATACTTCGTCTATCATCTCGAAAAAGTATTACTCTTATGCGCCCGTCAGAGCCACCCAAACAAAACCTAGATTCA